CGAAAACTAAAATCGAAAGTAGAGTAGGAAAAAAATAACATTGTCTGGTTGAAAGAAATTGGCAGCATTTTTATAATATGTTGAATGCTTTTTTTTGACATATGTTTTTTTATTGTGTTGTGTACAATATGATATGATTCGAACGACATGAATTTTGAAACATATTTTCAGTGAACATTCACAATAGACTGATTTTTGAATTTGGCAGCATTAAAAATGTAGACTTAAATTCTTTTGCGAGTAAAACTTAACTCTGAGGATTTTGCGAGTATTTTTTTTTTGCTACTCTGAAAGAAAAAATTACAGCTAATTATATAGACTAGTTTATAAATTTAGCAACCCTGCGTTTTGAGGTAAGCCAGTCGTTCTGAAAAAGTTATATAGGATTCACATGAGAGTTTTTATTATTATTTTAGCTGTCAAAATTTTAAACATGAAAACATTAACATGAATTCAGTATTAGGTTTAGTTTGCAGTGCTGCTGCATATGACATTCTTCAAATAAGTGTTCGTCTTTTTGCATAAGACTTACTAAAGAACACACTTAATTCTATGTTTACACTTACAGTTATGGAATCTGAAGAGCTCTTTTTTTGTATGAATTAATTGAGATATGTTAAACATAATATATGAATAATAGCAAGTGATTGCTTCTTTAAAATAGAGACAAATGATTGCTAGTTTAAACGGCTTGGAATCAAAGTAAACAGATTTATGGCTTTTGATGAGTGTACTCATTTTCTTGATGGCTTTTAATGACTTCATTCATTTATTTAAAATTATTAATTGAAGCATATAAAGTACAGTTATACTGCTTTTGCCTACTTATAATACATTTGCCAAATAAGATGTTTTTTTTTAAAAAAGTAATATAAATCTGAATATTTTATATAATATGGTTTTTTAATAACTTTTAAAACTGTTTGTGAATTAATCTATTTTAATACCGAATGCCAAATTAAAAAATTCAAAATTGTATTTTTATTGCATTACACGAATTTTTCAAACAAAATAAGAATTAAATTTACCTATACTTATAATACATCACATATAGATATAACACTTGTATATACATAATGACATAGCTGTAATAAGTAATAAGTTATTTAATTTATTTTGTATATTTTCCGTCCATAAACTAATAAAACAATTTGTAAATGAGTGGGATATAACTTAAGCAACAGATTTTTAACTGACCGGGCAGAACATTTTATATGTGATACTATAAATATGCGGCCGGCATCCATGAAATTATAATTTCATTTCTGTAAGTACTTCGGAGAAATAGTTTTTATTAGTATTTTATCGTAATAAAATATTAGGTCTGTTCCACGAGCTACTCGTAGTAAGTTTGAGTAACGCTGTGTATATGCAAATGCGTTCCACCAGCAAATTTTCGAGTAATTGAGAGCATCTGAGAGAGCGTAACATCCCTGTCGAAATTTAAAAAGTGTTGCACAAACTCTATTCGTACATATTATCAGCTGTTTTGGTTTGAATTTAATTTTTTGTGTTGTTTATTCACGCGGCACTGGTGTTCTTACCAGACTTAACACAGAGCTGTTCCATGAAAATCTGTGTAAAGATCGTAATTTGACACTTTATTTGTGTTACACTCTCAGTTTGTATTTTACTTGAGTTTTACTATGAGAAGATCGTGGAACAGACCTACTATAAATATACGGACGACATCCATGAAATTATAATTTCATATTTATCAATATTAAAATATTAATATTTATTCTTATTAATATTTTACCGAAATAAAATATCAAATGTCTGAACGTACTTTTTCTCACTTTTTTAATTAATGTCTATAAAATTAGTAATAAACTTTTTAATCAACCGTTGTTGTTTCGAATATAAAAAAGTGGTGTCAGATCTGGTGCCTTGCTAATGGGTTACTTTCAAATAGAAAAACCAATTATATGTACAATTTAACCAAATACCACCGCATATCATCGGTCTAAGTACCCCATTTATTTTACAACTATTATTGCCCTGTCAGTTAAGCATTTTATAAAAAATTCATTCGTTTTTTTATTCAATTACTAAATATATCTCACTCATAAATATATGAATTAATTGTTTATTACAATTTTATTTTTATTTATTTAGCACCAATACAAGTCATGTTAATTCTTTTATTATACAAATTAAATGAAAAACTAAATATATTATCAATATTGCATTTAGTATATAAGAAAAAACGATTTCATAATGTATTTACATTTTCATATTTAAAATATTATTTATCTTATTTTAAATTTATTTATTTAACTTCATTAAAAACGATAACTATCGATAGAGAATAGCCAAACGATTAATTTAAAAATACGTTTAGTATATAAGAGAAAACGATTTCAAGATGTAGTGCGTTACACGCTTTTAAACTCATATATATATAAAATATTGTTTATGTACTATTAATTTTAATTTTCTATGATCTATATTGGTTAGTTCATGTATTTGAACTTATTGAAAATGATTACTACCGATATATAACTTCATCAAAATTATGACTATCGATAAACAATAGTCAATGCGTATAATATAAATATGAGAACTAATGGAAATAGCAGATATAAATCTACTATAAACCTATGTGACCGTTTAAAGATACGAAAAGACAACATGAACATCAGAACGTTATTAGAAGCCTCCAGATTAGGTTAAGCTGAAAAAGTTCTTACAGACCCATCTATAACGATTTAAGATGGAAAAACTGCTGCGAGCTCCGAACTATTAAATCAAACTTCTTTTTATATTTCGACACCAAAACTGGTGGTCAGAGCGGGGTTTCGGTATGTTAATGACTAAAAAGACACGTGACTTGCTGTGCTCGAGTGGTACCTTGTTAACGAAAGCGTATTGTATATGCCAAATTCAAAGCCAGTCGGCAAAACATCTCAATTATACACTGAAACTGCGAATGTTAAGAAGGACAAATTCTATAATCAACTGTAAACTATTTATAGTGAGATAAACACTAATAATATCAAAATTATAATGGGCGATCTGAATGTCAAAGTAGGCTCTGACAATAGTGACTGTAAATTAGTGATTCGGGTACATAGTATCGGTTTAGTCAACAACACTCGTAACAGACTCATACAACAAATTGCGAAATGTAAAAATTATCCATAGCATGTATTTTCTTCTCACACATGGAATATACATGGACGTTGCCAAATGGTCGAATCAAGAACCAGATCGATCATTTCTGCCTCAACCAACGCCACAGGTCATACGTTCATAACGTCAGACCATTCAGAAAAGCCGATATGCATTCCGATCATCAACTCGCAGTTGGCAGTATAAGAATCAAGCTATATGGAATTTAGTAAGCATATATAACAGAATAACAGAAAAAATTATACGCTTACTTAAAGCTCATATTCATGTTGAGTCTTTTTCGAGCTATTGCATCTGGGCACTTTTACTTTTTGATAACTGAGGAGTTCCTGCAGAGTCCCACCCTTCTCACTGACTGATTTATGTATTCCTCAAAAGCAACATATGCTGACACAAGCAGTCGAATTTTGTATTATTACAATATCAACAAACCAATAAACGTTAAAAGAGGAGTTAGGCAAGGATGTGTTTTATCGACTCTGCTGTAATGTGCGAGGTTAGTCTAGTCGCTTATCGAGAGGCATAGTATGGAACCACTTCCGCAGCCTAAAAGATCTTGATTATACTGACGATATAAACCTTTTAAGCAGCTCAAGTCAACAGCATGCAGAACAAGGTTAGTGTTAGCATAGCTTGAGTCTACAGGACTAAACTGGTCACAATTACAAATATTACCTCTAAATATAATAAGTTCTCGTAATTGGATGGATGAAACCTTATGCTCCCAAGTGGAGAGAATGAAGGGGAAAAAAAATATTATTTTATTATTTTCTTTCGCATCAATAAACTAACCAATAAAAAGTCTGAAAATTAAAATAAATTATTAAAAACAATTTGTCACGAATAAATGTAATAACATTATTATTATTATTATTATTATTATTATTATTATTATTATTATTATTATTATTATTATTATTATTATTATTATATATGTATGTATGCTGATATGTGCAATTACTACTAACCTTAAAGTTAAAATATAAATACTTTAGAAAGAACAAAAAAAAATATTGTAAATTATTATTTAACTTTATAAAACTATTATTTATATTGAATAATAAAATACATTGTTTATACTTAAGATAATTAAATAAAAAATAAAAAAATAATTACTGCCTCAAAAGGATTTCTTTATTTTAAAATATGTTTTTCACAACGAAATTACACGTAAGTATTATGGAAAAAAAACGGTTATTTAGGCCGTCCGAAAACGCACTTAGACCATGAGATACATTATGATACCCTTAAGAATTTGACTCTATCACTATAACCATTCAGTACTAGCCACAAAGCCATTGACACAAGCTAGGGAAATAGAATTTAGCTCTCTTAGTGAATTGAAAAAGTGCGACCCTAACTAGGAGAGCCTTTGTCTTGCGAAAGCAGGTCACTGTACCAGAAGGTGTATTGGTGATTCCTCTTCGTCAGTTCTATGAATCTGGCTAGGTCCCTAATATTGTAGGATACTAGCTCAATCAGATTGGGGCCCCCTAAGATTATTGATTTTTTCCTAGCTAAAGACACATGAGATGAAACACAGTTTCCTCCTCGTCCTCAGAGCCACAATCTTATATTATAATATCAAATTTTAGGTTGTACTTGGATGAATTATATTGTTAGCTTCTAAGTTAGTTTTCTAGATAGCGCAACAAAAGCATGTACCTAATGCGCTATATAATAAAATAAATAACAATATGTATAAACTGAAGTATACATACATATACCTATACAAGCTTACACAATTATAGATTAAGAAAAGTAGGCGAAAAATTTCATATGAAATTTGGTATTAAAATCTAAAACTATATATTCATATAAATTTTTTTTCTTATACAATACGTTTCATATTTTCGGCTCTGAATTTTTTTGGCTAACATTTTCAATGATTTTGGAAATTAAACCGATATTTTGAAAAACTTAACTTTATTTTATTGAATTGCAAAGTTTGAAGTTTGTGAACCCCAAAAGAAGTGCAAATTTTGAAGTCAACACCAAACAAAGTTTTCAAAGGTACTATTAACGCTTTCTTTCGTAATTATAATTTATGCTTTGCTTTATTAAACATAATTATGTATTAAGCTTTTTATTATATATTTACTGTTTATATGTAACTTATGTAAATTTTTTTCATTTACATATGTTCATTTTTTGCAATATTTGTGGGAATAACTTAATCACTTTTTCCAAAATTTACAGTAAATATTATAAAAATCAATATAATTTAAAATAAATAACATATTTCTTAACTTTAGTGAAATTTTCATACACTTTCATTAACGTATTTTAGCGGTATGTTAGAGCTGCCAACCTTTTATTTTAATTCAAGAAAATTTTTTATATGAAATCTGTCAATTTTTTTTTTAAATAAATTTTATTTACTTTGACTTTTTTATCAGTGTTATTTGTTTCTTATCTTTCAATTGTTAAATTTTATTGTCAAACAATTTTTATTGTCAATTAGTTTTAGAATTTTTTTTTTATTGAATGTTTCAATAATTTGGTGTTAATCACACAACAGTTATTAATTTCAAATAATTTTCGTAAGTATCTAAGTTATTTTGCTAAATAACGCAATTATTAAAATTTAGTTCTAAAGTATCATTATATATTATATATTAATTATAATATTTAGAAACATTAAAAAAATCTGAAACTCTTTCCATGCAAAACTCACCACTTTGCAATACTGCAGAAATGTCAAAAGATGTGTTTATATTGTTTTGACGTTTTTGCAATGCGTGTCAATGGACAAATGTCAAAAATCCGTATGTTTTTTTCCGGCATATAAATAGTAATTTTTAGTGATCAACAGATTTTTTACAATATAACTTCATTTTAAATGAAAATAATAGAATACATTAATTTATTTAACAGATAATTTTAGTTGTGTGAATAAGAAACTGGTATTTGAATAAAATGGCACATTCAACTCCTCAGGTAAGTAGAAAATTAGTTGCTGAAATATTGTGACGCAATAGTTAAGCAAAACAGAATTTGTTGTATTTATATATTTATTTTTAATATTCCTAACATTACTAGGGTATTGGCCTGTTAAATGGATTTAAGCGCGTAACACGCTTTGATAAAGGTCTTGGTGCACAATTGCCGGAAGCTTACAAGAAATTCTGGCGTGAATGGAAGGTTATGCGACCAGCTGCTGTCCATTATATACCAAAAGAAAACGAATGGGAACGTGATGAGATTACTGGTCAAATCAAATCTTTTCAAAATGTGGATATACCCTTAATCGATACACCAGAATCGCATGAAGGTATATGGGGTGGTGAAGCAGTTATCAAAGGTTTTCAAAAACGCTCACGTACAAAACGTCGAGTGCCTCACTTTTGGGTGCCAACATTACGACGATCAGTCGTCCACAGCGATGTATTAAAAAAGCATATATCTGTGGTTTTGACAGATCGAACTTTGGAGAAAATACATGAAAGTCGTGGATTTGATCATTATCTTTTAAAGGTTGGTAAATATTTTATTAATTTAATTATTTATTATTAAACCTACATAATGTTTGTGCTGATTGAAAGATAATATTTACTTTAACTTGATGTTAATATTATATATAAGTTATGATGAATGAAATATAATATTCACTTTAACTTGATCTTAATATTATATATAAGTTATGCTGAATGAAATATAATATTCACTTTAACTTGATGTTAATATTATATATAAGTTATGATGAATGTAATGTAATATTCACATTAACTTGATGTTAATATTATATATGCAAGTTATGCAATATCGATTATATAAACATAAAGTTTACTCTTAAAGCTTTAGTACTACCAACCTAGGCATAACAATAGTCGAGCCAACAAATAGGCGTAACAAGTCGAACATTATAGTTCAATAAAGTTATACTTACTAAAATGTATGCACGGAAAACATATTGAATATATTATTTTAGCTGCTCGTACAAATGAAATTAACCACTAGATTAGAATTTTAGTTCTGAAAATCTTATGCATGATTCAATACAAATTTGTGTGCACAAAGTTGCAAAAAAATTCAGAGAGTGTTTTCTTAATGTTCTGATCTTCAAAGAAGATCAAACTTATATAAATTATAGTCGCTTTATAATACATGTTCATATCACACACCATTATATAAGATGCTCAATGCACGATTAACCTAGTCGCTAGGTACTGTAGTTAACACTACTCTTATTGTAGTCCAATTATATGGAATACAGCCAGCGACTGTAGTTTAATCGTGCAAGAGTATTTTAATAGTAAACAATAGTTAGTAATAATTAAATTTATTGGACGACATATTCTTTTCGTCGTAATTTCAACCTTTTACTACACCTAAACTAGTTTTAGCTAGCCCTCATCCCCATACTTTTTCCTGCTCATCTTTAGATTGGAAGGTGAAGTGAAAAGAGGACTAAATCTTTCGCAGTTAGAGAGCCTTAATGCAAAAATGCTTATCTTTATAATACTGTATTATATTCTCTGCTTAAACCCCCTTCATATTCCATTCCTATATGCTATTTAACAGTTCTCTTTGGATTATAAGAACAATAATCTTACCTCACTATTTCTATTTTGTATTTATTAATTTTTATACAGTTTAAAATTTTTAAATGAATAATTTCTTACGATCACATCAATTCTTACTAATATTATTTATTTTTAGTATCCTGCTTGTGATTTGCGTTCCATTCTGGCTCTCAAAATTAAGCGACATATTTTGCTGGAGTTATTAAATGGTTGTCCAACACACAATGAAAATCCTAATGAACAAGAACGAATCCTAAAAGAATACCAATGTTATCTAGAAGCGGTATATATAATCAATATATTATTTTTGTTGTTTATTAATAATTATTTACAATTTTATAAAGTATACAATTGAAGAAATAGATTGGTATGGTCATACATATCAAGAGGCTATTAAAAAACTACTTCAACAAATTCGAAAAGAAAGTGCTACGCTACCACACAAAGTAGAATTCCGTATGAAATTACTAGAGCAACTGCGTAACACAAATAATCCAAATGATAATACAGTTGAAACTAGTAGTCCCACAAATGACGATTCAAAGATAGCAAAGGACAAAATATCTTCAACAGAAGCGATTAAGGACAAGATTACAGAAATAGCTGAGTTGCGTCAATTTAAATTATTTAATACAAACAAAAAATAATATGTTTTTTCTTATTCTTATACTTTTTGAAAATGATTATAGTGTTCCTAAACAATCATCAGATGCATCAACATCTTCTTGGCTTTCGCGCATTAATCCATTTGGGCGAAAACAAACATAAATCTATAAAATAAAAATTAGAACAGCATATATATTATACATTCCTTATATATGCTGTATAATTAAATATAAAAACAAAAGCTAAAACAAAAAAAAAAAACAAAAAAAATATTAAAAAACAATTTTGGGCAAAGAGACAACAAAAAAACATTAAAAAACTTAATAACAACAACTTATTAAAATCACAAAACAATTTTGGGCAATTTAATGATGGGACATAATAATACCATATATCAATTTTGGGTAATTTATCAATGGGACATAATAATATATCAATTTTTGGACTAATTTAAATAATTTGGTTAAACAAAATTTCGGATAAATTATACTACTTATGTGCTATTGTAATACTATTAAGTGAGTTATTACTATCGTACACTGAGTAGCTACTATCACCCCCTAAATTATTCGTCAATATTATACAAGTTAATCAACTGTTATTTATTGTATAAAATAAGAAAACAATTTAATTTAATTCATATTTAAAAACAAATGTTAAGCGTCGTCACCATTAATTGATCAATTAAATACATACAATTGTAATAAACATTTCCACTAATTCCAAAAACAAAAAAAACATCATACATCGACATAATGAGTTATTCCTCCGGTCACACTATACCAGAAAATCATCGATTAATTTAAGTGTTGAATGTTTTATTATGTGCCATTTTTTGAAACTCTCCCAACAATATAAAATGTTAAATGATATAAATTGTAAAAAATGAGAACAACACATAAACAAAAATATTGCAAAACTGTAACTTAGAAAACCCAAAAAGATTAGAATATAAAAATTAATCACATACACAACAAGCCGCCAGTTTTCAATGAAACGATATATTGTATTTTAATTTTAAATTTTTCACATAACTTACATATGCTATTATTCTATCTTTCAAAAACATCATTGTTTTAATTTAATTTAACATAAAATGTAAATTTTACAAATTTTCATTATTTGTACACTTTAAAGTGTAAAATAGCAATAAGCAATGCTTTTGCATCTTTTTTTTTGTTAAATTAAATAATAAACAATTTTATAAGAACAAAAAAATTTGTAGCCACAAACACACCAAATAAATTCCTTTTATTTATTAATATTATTGGATAAATTTAAAAGTTATTTCACACGAAATTCACTATACAAAAGTACAATACAAACTTTCAAAATCAAAGAGCGTAGGACCGAAATAAAAAAAAAGTAAAACAAAAAGATTGTTTTTTATTTTACAATTAATATAATGTATTTATTTATGTCTAATATATTTTTTGTTAATAATAGCATATCTCAGATATATATAAATGTTTTTATTTTAAATTGTATTATAATTGCAATATAAAAAATTGTTCGTTTTTTAAAATACTCAAAGCGTGTACACAACGGAATGCAAGTTCTTTAGTTAACTTAATACAATACACATAGAACTCTTAAAGGTGTTACTCTGTTTATGCGTGTGGCCATTAAATTGGAAATAAAATTTAATATAGTGTTACCTGAATAATGGATCTAACAAATTGCTACAGTATTTATGTCATATGGCTATTGGTTTATATTAGAAACTAATATACAGCCTTATTCGAAGAATAGATCTAAGAAAGTACTACTCTGTTTACATCATGTGGCTATTGGATTGGATAGTAGACTTAATACACAGCATTATTCGAAGAATAGTTCTAACAAATTTTAGTTTATGTCTTATAGTCATTGGAGCTGATGGACGACAATGCACAGCGTTATCCGAAGAATAAATCTAACAGAGCGCTTCTCTATTTATATCATGTGACTATTGGATTGGACAGAAAACAGTACACAGCGTTATCCGAAGAATAGCTCTAAGAAAGTACTACTCTGTTTATATCATGTGGTTCTGGATTGGATAGTAGACTTAATACACAGCATTATTCGAAGAATAGATCTAAAACATTTTAGTTAATTTACGTCTTATGGTCATTGGATTAAATGGACGACAGTGCACAGCGTTATCCGAAGAATAGATCTAAAAAAGTACTACTCAGTTTATATCATGTGGCTACTGAATTGGATAATAGACTTAATGCACAGCGTTACCCAAAGAATAGATCTAAAAAATCTTAGTTTATGTCTTATAGTCATTGGAGCTGATGGACGACAATGCACAACGTTATCCGAAGAATAAATCTAACAAAGCGCTTCTCTATTTATATTATGTGGCTATTGGATTGGACAGAACACAGTGCACAGTATTACTCGAAGAATATCTCTAAAGAAATTCTACTGTTTACCTGTTTACGTCTTGTGATCATTGAATTGTGCAGCACACGTAAAAGTTTGTTTAGGATTGGTCAATGGTATTTAGGGGCTTCGGGTTAGGCTAAGACCACCCTATGCACTGCGACCAGTTTGATGTATTGTGGACTTGGTTAGGATTAGTTCATGACCGTGTACCAAAAAAAAAGTAATTGTGTGCTTTTGCCGAAAATGGTTGCCATATCATCGTCAAATAAGAAATATATATATATTATATAAAACTCAAAATTAGGTCCATTATGTTACTAGAGTTAGGACACACTGACTATTCTAGGGAACTTCTATTTCAGGTGGTATAAACAATTTAATTATTTAAATAAAACAGACAATACCTTTTATCTATATCTTTATCTTAATATCGCTTCAAAACTTGGGAGAAGGAAAGACCCTATTATACAGAAGAATATAAGTTGGATTTAAATCCAATTACTAAATCGTTGAAATGATCAAAACTTTGATATTATATGAGAGTTTTCTTTTTCAGTATTCTTTTTCAAAGAACATAATTGCACATAAGTTTAAATATGTTGCATAGTTCTTGTTGAAGGATAACGCAGCTGATAAGAGCACACCATTTATTCCCTGTAATAAAAACCCTATAACATTTCAATTCGAATGCACTTAAAAATAACTTATAAATATAATAACAATAATAGTAGAAAAAAGTATATATACCTGCATTATAGTCGATCAGCTATACATATTTTTTGCGATTATTAAAGTATATATAAAAATGCATAAGAGCACGATTTGTACACGTTTAAATATAGATAGATAGATAGATATATGTTAAAAGTATTTGTGCTTTGAACAAGTATGACGACTAAGTAGATTATTAAACACTAATGCTTCAAAATGTTCGAGCAGTTCAAATAAATTCGTATTCTAACATTTAGATCGAATACAACAGGTGTTCGAGCTAGATCGAAGATGTTCGAACTTTTTCGAAGATGTTCGAATTTCGTCGAAGATGTTCGAACTTCGTCGAAGATGTTCGAACTTGGTCGAAGATGTTCAAGCTAGATCGAAGATGTTCGAACTTCGTCGAAAATGTTCGAGAGCAACACGTACATCTCATATATACAATATATCATAAGAATCATAGTAGCATATGGTGTGCAAACAATTTCAAACGACGAAATACAAATATTGCCCGAGCATATGCATACGTAAATATCAAAATGAACAAAGATGATCGATCAACTCGCATAATTTTTGAAGCTCTACTAAAAACAAATATATAAATCACAATCACATAAACGAATAAAGATTACACAAGTTACGCGATAGGATTTTTCTTCATTAGCTCAATATCTGCAGCCATCATATCATTGACTAATTCACTAAAAGTTACTTTTGGAGTCCAGTTAAGTTCACGTTTCGCTTTGCTTGCATCACCTTGTAATAGATCGACCTCGGTTGGTCGAAAATATTTAGGATTTATACGTACACGTACAATATTAGAATTTTTTTCAATGCCAACTTCATCTATACCCTCTCCACTCCATACTATTTCACGTCCAATATATTTGAAAGAAACTTCCACAAATTCACGTACACTATGCGTTTCTCCAGTTGCAATAACATAATCAGATGGTGTATCCCGCTGCAACATTGTCCACATAGCTTCCACATAATCGATGGCATGTCCCCAATCACGTTTAGAATCCAAATTACCCAATTCAAAATATTCCATTTGATTTAGAAATATTTTTGCAACTGAACGTGTTATCTTGCGAGTTACGAAATTCTCTCCACGCCTCGGTGACTCATGATTAAATAATATACCATTGCAGGCGAACATATTATAGGCTTCCCGATAATTTACCACAATCCAAAAGCCGTACATTTTGGCGCAAGCTAATAAAGAAAAATTATAAATTAATTTAATTTCAAAATTTTAGAAAATTATTATCATTTATATATTTATATAATATAAAAAAATTGTCTGATAGTTGATTTGATAATCATTGCAAAAGATCCATAAATTTATTGTTGGAGGAATTATAGCATGAGAATAGAAAGTCTTTAAATTTAAATTTTAAATTTATACTTACCATATGGAGATCTGGGATAAAATGGTGTTTGTTCGTTCTGTGGTGTTTCCACTACTTTGCCATATAGTTCTGAAGTGGAGGCTTGATAGAATTTTACAACTTTTTCCATCCCACAAGTACGTATGGCGTCAAGTATACGTAAAGTGCCCACAGCATCTACTTCGGCAGTGTACTCACTCAAATCAAAGGATACTTTAACATGTGATTGTGCTGCTAAATTATAAATTTCTACTGGCTTTACCATGTTGATAATTTTTACCAAACTGCTGCTATCTGTCATATCACCATAATGTAATTTCATTTTACCACCTTTATGTGCTTTTGGATCGGCATAAAGATGTTCTATGCGTGAAGTGTTAAAAGTACTGGCACGTCTTATAATTCCGTGTACTTCGTAATCCTTTTTTAGTAAAAATTCGGCAAGATATGACCCATCCTGAAAATATAAGATATATTATTAATTATATTCTTAAATAGAAATAAAAGTTTCTAACTGGAGAAACTAGTTTTGTTAGAGTAACGTTTTTATCGATAGAAAAACCAGCCACGTTTTCAGACAGACGAAAATGTTTACAATAGTCACAAGCTACAAAGGGTGTAAGGATATAAGCAAAAGTACGATAACTTATATTTTACAGAAATTATAAATAATGAGCTCCTTAAAAAAATCATATAAGACCACATTAAAGCATCCAAGGTTCCAAGAACAACCGACTATACGTCCCGGAGCCACTCGTTATCGACAACAAAGTGCCGTTCGATTCCTCCTAAGTGAACTACACAAGACGTTCTCAACGGGCTACAATCACAACAACAATTTACAAGCATCCAATTTTTTGAAAAGTTCTATTCCAACAATTGTCTTGCTTTTGATGGCGGACTAATACTATAAATTAGACTAATATATATACCATATTTAAGATATATATTTCTAGAACAATTGATTCGCCATGTATATATGGCTACGAGACATGGAGATTAACTGAAACTGAAGCCAGCAAGATAACAGTGTTTGAAAGGAAAATACTCAGTAAAATGTTTGACCCCGTGAAAGATAACGGGATGTATCGCATAAGACACAACCACGAGTTATGAAAAAGCAGCGATTAAGATGGGTTGGGCATGTTATAAGAATGCCGGATACGGGAGTAGCGCTTGGGATCTATGCAAGTAGGAACCAGCAGAAGAAAAGGACGACCAAGAAAACAATGGAAAAACAGTATGTAGCAGGACTTAGAAGAAATAAAAATAAGAAATTGGAAAACAAGATAAAAAAACAGAGAAGAATGGAATACTGTTGTGAAGCAGGCTTAGGTTCTACATAGACTGTATAGACACGGATGATGATGATGATTTGTAGAACAAAATAAAAATTTTTACAACTGATAAATATTATATAAATATTCCATATAAATTAGAAGAGATGTAATATAACCTTTTATCGGGCATCACCTTCTGCATGCCCTTATTCGTTCATGAAAAATACTATCTCATTCCCAATTTCACAAATGTATGATTCTTGGACTCAAGTATTTTAATCAGCTATTCACAACTTCTATCTTTCTTTTAAACTCGTTATTAAAGTTTAAGAATGCAAGTATATACTCAGAAATCAAAACATTAAAAGTCGGTGCACCTGAACTTGTGCAAAAAATTCTGTCAGAAATGTTTAAAATGTTTATAGATGATTCCAAAATATGTTAAGGTATCAATACCGGTATATACTCGACAAGACTGCTCATTATAAAGTTTGCACACCTGTCTTACTAGTTTTACGTGTTCAAGCAAAAGTGTTTAAACTGGTCTATTAATTAGTCTATTAGTCTACTATTAAGTAATCTGTTGATTGCAAACTAAACATTTACAAATAACATTATATATATCAAATAGTTAAGCTGCAGTTCACAACCTAAATTCATCCATCACAACCTCTTACCTGAGGGAAGACTACGAAAGAAGCCTAACCACGTTAAGCGAATAACTAATAAATATAAATAAATATTTCTCTAATTGAAGTGGCTAAGTTTCCCCGCCTTGATTCATATTCGCTTCAATTATAATCCCATCTATCTCCAATCTATTCTTACTTCTTACCAGCATATATCCTAAACGATATACACGTATTTGCTTTCATGCTACCTTATTGACAGATCTTCGCGGGTTCAAAAACAACAAAGACTTGTTACTCTGAACCGGAGTCCGCTCTAAATATAGAATGAACCAAAAAATGTGATCAACTAAAAAGAGAATAGCCACGTGAGATGCATTTGCAAAACCGTTTAAGGAGTATAACTAATATACACATTTAAATTGTAGATGTAAGACTGGCAGATTTTAATGGTCTCGATGCGGCTTTAAGTAAACATTAGACCGAATATCTCTAGACTAACTGGCAGAGAGACTGGATATCTCACCTCATTCACACTGGTTTGGCACATATAATTAGCCAGATTTAGCAATTTTTTATTTTCTATCTGTATTTTCTGCTTTTTCAATTAAAACGACATTCCACAATCTTGAAGACCTAGCGGGAATGGATGCTCCTAAACCAAAGTAACTGGATTTAACTAAATGTGTACTCAACCTACTAAATAATCAGTTGGAAACGAGTTTGTGATAGTAAAATGATACAAAACTGGTATTTTGAGTTATGAATTGAGAAAGTTATTACTTTACCCAATGCTAGCACTGAAATTGCGACCAAGACATTAATCAATAAGGCTAAAATTGATATGGGTATTAGTGATACCAAACATTTTGACAACGTCATAAGAAGTAGACAAATACCACCAGAGTTACTGTAGCATTTGGAAAGCATTTTTTATCCCACCATGTCTAGTGAGAAATTTAGTTATTTTTATTAAAATGAGAGATCGCCATTATGTAGCTAATTTTATTAAATAATAATTATTAAATAATAAATATTAAATAATAATTATTAAATAATATTTATTAAATAGTAATAATTAAATAATATAATTTTGAATTAAATATAAAGTGAAGTTAAAAGAAGTAGAATCACTAATAAAGAAAATTTTATTAGAAGTATTAGAAACAATGCTTTTGAATACTCTTTTCCAATGTTATAACAACAAAACGAATATTTTAGAAACAACGGCCGATTGTTCATCTTAGTGCCATAAACTAAAGTAATTACCACTTTTTATATGTCGCCACTTTTAAGCAATTACACATAATTGATTCAACAAAATAATTGATATGACTACGATATTCTAGGCTCCGCAATCTGAGAAAAGATTTTTATATAGTTCGCTATTTTAAGCAACTATTTTCATTACGCTATATGTTGATATAATATTTTCGTAATCAATTTTAAAACCTTACATGCTTGTTGCCATTAGATGGCATATCTATCTTGTTTATAACAGTGTAAAACGTTTACAAATAAATCTCGTGAACCAAATTGTATTGGTACATAGCCTGGTTCCAAGAACGACCACCCATCGTATTCGACGATCAAGTACTGTTCAACATTTTCAAAATGGACTATACAAATGGTATATAGCCTAGTGGAAAATGGCACTTTTTTGACTTCGACGAGTGGCTCCGCGACGTAGACCCGGCCGTTCTTGAAACGTTCAAGTACCGTTCAACACTACCAAAATGGACTATACCCGAAAACCCTAATTGTAACTTATAGTGCATGCTCAGTAAAGAATGAATTTCAAGACTTTATTGTGACACAGAATATATTCTAAAAAACAATAAAAATAATTATTCAAATTATACCAGAAATTAATCTATACTTACATTAATAGTCAAGAAATATTTTATTTATAGCGAAAAGTGGAACAATATGTTATTTAATGATTCATAATTTTTATGGTGGGTTGTTCAACTGATAAGCAGAAAGAAGTATTCACATGGAGGCCACAAGTTTGTAAATAAAAAGCTGGCCGCTAATAAATGCATTATATGTGCTAACTTAAAATTTTCAAGAAATATATTTTGTATAAAGGTAACTTTAACAAAGTTATTTAAATTTAATATTACATAAATAAAGCGATTTGCTTAATGCAAAGGATTTAATTGAAGCATAATACCTGTCCCGTGATGCCGGTTATCAGTGCAATTTTTGGTCGAACTCCGTCACCAGCACCATTTGCTTGACTGTCATTGTATTCAGGAACTACAGGAGATATTGTGCAGTTTGACCCATTATTAGAAGACATATTTCAATATTTTTTTTAAATTAATTGCTAAAATTTATTACAATAAGTTATATCTAAGCAATGATGTGTATTCTAACTAAATTACACACACAGAGCAACAACAAAACAATACGTCAACAAACTGTAAGCACTTTTTTGACTGAAAACTGCACCACCCTATACAAGAACCAATCACCTACAAGTATCAAATGGCGTCGCCTTTTATTGTTTACGACAGCCGGTTATGATTGACAGTTGGTGACAACAGGTGATTAATGTGTTCGGAATGTATTTATAATGTGTTCGGCTGAATGTAAATGTGATATCAAGTATATAATAATGTATACATATAATTTATATGAAAATGAATATAATTCATTTTAGAATATCTGAATAGAACAATGCAAAATAATAAGAGATAAGAAAATATACAGAAATAACAAAAAAGTGGAATGAGGAAAAAACTATTCTTTACGTTTATTGTAATTTAGTAAAAGTATTTTTTTTTTTGAGTTTAGAAGCTTTATCAGCTGAAAAATTACTAATTTCACTTAGTTAAATTTGATGTTGAACGATTAAAACTTAAATAATTAAAATAAATTAAATAATATAATAATAATAAAATAATATATAATAACATATAAGCGATACATCGATATAAAAATACTAAAAATTTATAATCGTTAAGAAGTTTTGACACGTCATAGCTTTATATTGCAACTTGTTAAAGTCTTGCATATAACAAATATAACTTATATAATAGACTTTTGTGTGTTTTATTGTTCATATTTACTTTAACTGTACAATTTATCTTTCTTGTTTGACATTTTATTTAAATAGAGAAATTTACTTAATTTATATATGTACGTTAGTCGATGTATAATTACTATAAACGATAATATAAGAAAAATTCTATCTGTTAAATTTTTATTATATGTAATAAGTCTGTTCCACGAGCTACTCGTAGTAAAACTAAAGTTAAACACAAGTAAAGTACAAACTGGGAGCGTAACACAAATAAAGTGTCAAATTTCGCTCTTAACACAGATTTTCATGAAACAAGTTTGTGTTAAGTCTGGTGAGAACACCAATGCCGCGCAAGTAAACAATATAAAAATTTAAATTCAAACCAAAACAGCTGATTCACACATCAACACAAATATTACTTGAAATAAATGCACGAGTAAAGTCTGTTTAGCACTTTTTAAGTTTCGACAGGGATGTTATGTTCTCTCAGATGCTCTCATTTTCTCGAAAATTTGTTGATGGAACGCACTTGTGTATACATAGTGTTACTCAGAGTTGCTACGAGTAGTTCGTGAAACAGACCTAATATATGTATGTGCAGAAAAATTTGCATGAAAAAATTTTTGTAGTAGTTGATTTTAAAAATCGTCGTTATAATTCTCTAATTTTGTCACCTTGGTCGTAAATAGTTTAATTTCATTTAAGACTCCGCTTTTGGTAATAAAGTTGCTATACGTCACTTTATTTAACACTCTGCTGTATATGATTAAGTTAGCATATGTGTGTCACATCTATATACAAGTGGTTCTGATAATAATTGCATTTATCATACAACGTTGGTGATGACAGCGAGTTAGAAAGTGTGTTTAAAAACATTTATACTGGCTGATAAAAACACTTATAGGTGCACTTTCGGTGCTAACAAGTGCCACAGGGTTTTTGCAATCAATTGGAACTGTTTAGAAAACAGGTACCACCATGGTGGACGTGGGTGTGAATAATAAAACCATTTTTGTGTTGGATCACACACAATATTTTAGTATTTCAAGCGGTGATCTTGTATCGCTGGAACCAGTTCGTACCAAGCCGTTAACTGGAGTTAATGAAGTAGATACAGATAATATTTTGCCAAGTTTTAGTAAAAGTTTATGGACATGCTCTGTGGAGGCAGCGGTTGAATATTGCCGAATTGTCTATGATTTGTTTCCAAATGGCAAGTTTGTGAGATTTTTCGTTAGTGATACCGTAGCTCATATTGTAAACACATGGAGTACTTCGACACAAAATACCAACCATGTTTTAAATGCAATGTCTCTTGTTGGTATACCATCGTGTATCACTCCATCCACTGACTTTTCTGTCATACACGGCTTACGTGCGGCCGTCGAAGCTTTATCAGAGCCCACTGAAGATCAGTTAAGAACTCAACAAATGGATTACAGACACAAATTTCATGCTGCAGCGAAAAAAAAAATTTTCAATAAAGGACGTATTATATGCATTACATCTGCCCGCGATGATGCTAGTATTAAGAGTTTAGAGGAGATTTTTCATTCAGTGCTTGGACAACAAAACAAAATGGCAGCTGGTTCGAAAAAGGCACTTATCATTGATCATTGCAATCTTGTTATTATAAATGTGTACCCTCTAAATACTGAATCTTTGGTTGCCGATCGTGGTAAAGTGTTTCTTTCGCCAACTTTGTCTACCGAAATATTCAGCACATCTGCACCAAACATATCCAACAAGCTCACGCATTTAATAATGAGTCATTACGATTTAGCAAGCACCACAGTTACTGGAATACCAATGAAGGTAATACACATTGCTTTTCAATAAAAAATTAGTTTGATTGTTGTTACTTTTTTTTTGTTTTTTTGTTTTTAGGAAGAACAAAACGCTAATTCCAGTGCAAATTATGATGTAGAAATATTACATTCTCGCAATGCACATACAGTATTTATGGGTACTGAGAACTTTTTACCTACAAGTATTAAGAGCGGAGCCGAATATGAGACAGTTACATTAAAATGGTCTACACCTCGTAGTTGTGGCTCGTGTGAATCTCAACAAAGCCTAGCACAACATCGTGTAACCCCTGTTGATGTCACTTCTCGTCCAAGTGCTTGTTTAATAAATTTTTTATTAAATGGTCGTTCAGTGCTTTTGGAAATGCCACGGTTCTTTCTATATAATATATGCCCTAAAAATTTATTTATTAAAACCTTAATTTTAGGAAAACTTGCGGCAAATCAACAAGCCATTTACTATCAGCAAGAGGTGGTGAAATATTCATACATGCTTTACAATTTGTTCGGACTTGCATTGAGGATATACCGGCAATAACAGAATTAGCAGGTGGTCGTTTATCAGATTACCGTCTTTCAGAATTTTGTGCTATGGCAAAAGCACATCATCTTGTACCACATAAAAATTTATCAAAAACTGATGAAAATTTATATCATGCTCGCCAGATATTATTTCAGAGTACGCGCTATTTTCCACTGACATACTCGTCAACCATAGTTTTTAATTTACAACGCACACTTCCTTGGTTGGAAATGTTCTTACAAAGATGTAATAAACCCGATATGGATAAATCCGATGAAGTTCAGTGTCAACAGTATCTCTTTGATTTATATACCTCATCCCGTCGTGTTGATAGTTTACCACCTTTACCATATTTAGGGTGGTAAGTGTTGTTTAATTAAATTTTAAACTAATATGTTAAATATTTTCTTTTTCAGTGTTTAGAATTTTTTTTTTTTTTTGTAATAAATGCAAGTAATGATTCCTTGATCCATGAAACAAAAAAAAAAATCGTGTAAGAACCATTTTCAAGAGTAACTGAAATATTAACAAAAGCTCATTTATTTCATTAAGCGTATACATTTGTATTAAAATAAATATAATATAGCTCGTTTTAAAGAACGTTTAAGGGGAAACAATGCGTAACAAGTGCAAAATTCTCAAGCAAAAATGTTAACAAGATAATCAAATATTGATATACGAAAAACAAACCATGAATTGGTTTAAAAGGATTTAAAAGACTTAATGGAAAGACCATTCCTAAACTCAAAACTCTTTTCGGATTGTCATAAGCCATTATAGTGAAAAAAATGTCATGTATATGCTGCGAATTTTTCGATTGCGTTTTTTTACGGGTTAATGTTGAAAATATACCTCAATTTAGCAACGGTTTTCCCATATTTGGGATGAAGGAATCCCCTTTTGCATTTACAATATTTTCTTAAAAAAAAAGTCTGTATATATGTTGTAATAGTATTATATATTATATATTCATGTAAAAAAAAAAAAGAATTTAATTAATTAATTTCTATTTGAAATTTATCTATATATATTTATTAATTGATTTAGTAAATTAATTTTTATCTTTACGTGTTTTTTTAGCATTCGAGGTAACAAAAAAGTAATTCAATATAAACTTATTTGGGCTGAATTAGAAATAATATTGCGTTGCATTCCTGCGAACCCACATCATAGGATTTTACTTGATGGTCTGCGAGCAATGTATATGGAAGACATCCGTATAGCAATTGATTATGAACACAGTAAGTTATTTTTATATATTATTTTCACTATAACCATTAAGCTTTATAATATATAAATTATAATTTGTATATAATATATATATATATATATATATATATATATATATTAATTTAATATTTTTTAAGTTATAAACCTATTATATAAATTCTATATTATAATATTGTTTGTCTATACGATATTGTTTATGTCAATATCAATGGATTAAGATTAAGTGTAATAAATATATATAATTGTAGCTTATGTTCACAAGCTTAAAAATTTGAAATAGGTTTTAGTGAACAAGTATATAAAAATTAAAACAAAATGTGTAATTCTTAATATATTTTTTATATAGTAGTTTAATTACAAATACTTCTGTTAATTACTAAATAAAAAAGCCAATTTCAAATTTATTAATACATATACTTTTTGTAACATATTAATTACTAACTATAATTATACCAAAAAATATTTTAATACATATTTTATGTACATATTTTATGTACATATTTTATATAGATATGTGACAAATGTATATACAATTTTTTTATTGTTTAGTTTTAAAAATTTAAATATATATTAATTGCATGAAAATGTGTTTATATATTTATTATATTTTTATGTATAATCGGATGTTATATATGAGTACAGCATGCGCGTATAAAATATATACATTACATAGCCACACATATACAAGGATATGCATAGTAAATATATATATTAAGTAATTTTCTTACATAAATTTGTATATAGTTATATATATTTATAAATTTTTTAATAATATTATTACTTATGTAAAGTAATAGTTTGTTTACAATTATATAGTTTGCTTTCATTAATATACGAAAAAATTATAGGCCATATGAGATAATCTTACTCGCAATACATTTTTTTCAAAACAAAAATCAATGTAATATATAAATTGTAATACATTCATTGATATTTATATTTTATATAAAATAAAGTTAATAAATTAATTCATAAAACAAATATATTTAACAATAATTTATTTATTTTTTAGCGCCACTATCTCAACAAACCTCAACTATTCCAACTGATTCGCCTATGTCACCACCAAGTTCTACTACTAATACTAATATAAGTAAAAACTCTAAGCGCAGGTAAGATTGAATACTAATATAAGTTAAAACTCTAAGCGCAGGTAAGAATGCAATACATAATTTATAAACTTGCATATGTAATAATGTCCATATAATAATTGTAATTATTTATATTATTATTGTAGAAGCTTATATGATATATTCTTATCATATGATATGCAAATTACCAGCAAACGTTTCGAATTCAAAGGAAGAACAAACTATTCACATGTTTTATATGAAAATATTAAGAAAGAGGAAGTCGTTGAAAAGGAAACTTTTAAGTGAATATGATTGGTAAAGAAGATAATATTATCATGGTTAGATCTGAATTATATTAAGTGTTTAGATATTAAGTGTACATTCTTTCAGAAATCTTTAATTAGATCCTAATTCATATAATTAGTTATTTATGCTTGTATATTCATATTCATTCATATTATTTTAAGTAGATTTAATTCTTGTAATGTTTATGTACGAAGTCATCTAGTAACAATAGGGATACTCATCTAAGCTTATAGAATTTATCAAATTCATAATTTTATGTATTTACGTACACGGTTATATGCACGGACTTAGTGAAATATTTGTGTAAATTTATCAATCTGCTATACATTGGCACTATTTATATCAGCAATAATTATGATAGCGCAAAATGCAATACTCAGCAGCGCAATATTTTAGACAATATCGATGCAATTGATCAGCTGTGTCACTATCAATAAACTAAAGAATAAAATACCAAAATTGAGCGAAAGTCCAAACTAAAAAGTATTTACAAAGATATTTTTGTAAATGATTTACTTGTGTTGGAATGCAATTCTGTATTAACGGATAAATTTATGCGATATAAATTTATTCCATAAAATTTTCGTGTAAATTTATTAAGTTTGTGTAAACGATTTTGCATACAAAATTTGACACTTCATTTAGCAAATAGATAAATTTGTACGTACACATATACAGTTTAGATAGAATCAGCTAATATTAAACTGTATAAATATACTGTTACTTTAAACTCTTCGTTCAAATACAATGAAAATTTGATAATAGACCAGTGAATGATTTTTCTTATTGACTCATATAATTACAATTATGGTAGATGACTTCACTATAATTCCTGTTTAGCCCAAAGCACACCTTGCATGTATGTATGTTATCTTTTATGTATTTAATGTAATTTTTCCAAAATGTAATTTTTATAAATATTTTAGACAAACATTATGTACTATATATGAAGTTTATTCGCTCCAGCCATATTTATAGACAGACAATATTTTGATCCCTTTAAATAATGATTTTGTATGTTGGTTTGTTAGATATGTAATGAAATAATAGAAAAATCTGTACAAATATAAATATATAGTTATTATTATTATAATTACATTATATATAAAATATTATTTTTGGCTCTATATTATGTGGTGGTTTTTAAATATTTACCCTCTAGCTAAATAGAAAATGGAGTTCTAGCAGAATGGATTGCGATCCTGTTAATCGGATATTTTTGTATAATAAATTTTAAGTCCTTTATTATAACAAAAGAATCTATTATCTATTGATTTTAAGTTTAAGAATGTTAATGTTATATATATTAATAGCCTTAAGTTTACATATATCAGAATTATGATATGATTTTAACTAAAAACAGAATATGATATATAAAATCAATAGCTAATGATAATATTAAAGTAAAATTTTCCATTCTTAGATGGAAAATTATTCCAAACCGAAAATACTTTTTTATCATTATCATTTTTAATAAAAAAATTGAAATAAAGATGAGATATCGCTCTTTGCATATAGTCGGAACCATAGTACTGTAAGCCAATTTAAATGAGTACGAAAATACAGCAAAATTGCAGTGCTGTTTATTTTTGGACGCCAGTGTTTAAATTTATCAACTCCATAATAATTAATACTTATCTATATCTATAACCTACGCGTGGCCTTTTTGGCCTGCCAGCATAATCTAATCTATATCTATAACACTTGATTTTTCTTTAAAGGTTTTTCAATAGAATTAATTTTTCAAATTTAGACACTAACTAACAGACAAGTTGAATATTGCCATTAATTAAGAAGTGGTCAATTTTAATTTCTTGTCAAAAAAAGTGAATGGAACAACGAAGATTTTATGTAAGTCATATTTGGTTCACGGATGAATTCAAACTCTAGGATATTTGGTTCACGGATGAATTCAAACTCTAGGGTGCACAAAATAGTGCTAATATCTATAGACTCAGATGACACTTATAGCCATCATAATATATAATTTTATCACGTTTTTTTTTTTTTGAACAAAAGTCCGTGCTATCGAAATCTGTGCAATATACCGCCCTAGAAGGCGATATAAAAAGGAAGGCATTAGTATATATTCAGATAGTAACGTAGCTTTAAATTTCCTTCAATGGTATTCATTAAATTCAGGTTGGTCCGAAGCTACAAGAATCTCATATCTGAGTTATATTGTTTGAGAAGTTTAATCACTGGTTTCTGATTTGAAATACTTCTGTTAGCTACCACGATTCAAAGAACTACAAATTCAGTGCATCTTATATGTTGCCACGAACGGGAATGAGTTAAGTATCTCTATGCGACTAATACTATACCTAATAAAATCTGGGGTCTTGAATTGTTCAGGTTAGTTTATTTAATTCTCTCAAAGTAAAGAACAGTAGATTACTTGGTTATAGAGTAAACCATTATTCTTTTTGGTACAATAATAATAAAACGAGCTACCAAAAAACTTAAATATATATTTTTATATGATTGTTTCTTTTCTACACAAAATATTTATATTAATCAGTACACAAAATTTAAAAAAAGGTTTGATGTATCATGAATCGTAACACAAGTGATTCAAATTTTAAATATACTAACTTTTATATTATATTTATATTATTATATATTTAATAATGCCTAAATTCATCGCGAAAAAATAATTAATAAAAACTAAAAAGTAATAGTAATAACATTAAATAATTATATTAGGTGTATTCTTTTAACATAAATACTCCAATAAAACAACTTCACGTTGCTTAAGAATAACTTGGCATCACTGCCTAAATCAATTAACATATGACAAATAAAAAAAATTTAAACAAATTTGCGGTTATTTATCAATATGTAAATATAAAACACCTGTAGATAGTTTTATTAAAGGTTTTTTATATAAATATTTATAAAATCAATAACACAAAAAAATTATTAGTGAGCATTCTATATTGTATTTGAATTTATATAAATTCAAATATGAGGTATTATTTTAAACCCATAAAATAAAAAGGAAAAAATAGTGAAATGAGAAAGATACAGTGGCGCATTGACTAAATAATTAAAATTTTTGATAGCTCCAGGTCTTCAGAAGGCAATACGAGATCGTCAATAAATTCATTTATAGAATTTTCAAACTTCTAACATTACTAGTTAAATAATGTTAAGTGGGAAGTATTTAACACTATTTTATTTTTCTTACTTTTCTTATAATCTCCCCAAATTTTATTAAAAAAATAAAATTTTTTAATATTTTATTTATAACAATTTATAAAAAAATATTTTATTTATTTATAACATTTTATAAAAGATATTTTATTATTTATAGGATTTTATAAAAATATTTTATTTATTTATAACATTTTATAAAAGATATTTTGTTTATTTATAACATTTTATAAAAAATATTTTATTTATTTATAACATTTTATAAAAAAATATTTTATTTATTTATAACATTTTATAAAAGATATTTTATTTATTTATAGGATTTTATAAAAAATATTTTATTTATTTATAACATTTTGAAAAAGATATTTTATTTATTTATAGCAAATTAAAAAAAAAATTTTATTTATTTATAACATTTTATAAAAGGTATTTTATTTATTTAAAGGATTTTATAAAATATATTTTATTTATTTATAACATTTTATAAAAAATATTTTATTTATTTATAGCAAATTAAAAAAAATATTTTATTTATTTATAACATTTGATAAATTATTTTATAAATTCGTTTAAATTTTTTTTATTTGTCATATGTTAACTGATTTAGGCAGTGATGCCAAGTTATTCTTAAGTAGTCTAAAGTTGTGCTATTGGAGCATTCATGTCAAGTTGTGGTTTGGTACATTTGATCTTAATTTTACTTCTAATTTTTGTTTTTCTTGTTTTGCTCGTAAATGAAGATGTTAAACGTTGCAATATTTATTTTTATATTGTTTCACTTTATGAGAAGTGTTTGTAATTGTTTATTACGAATTTAATTTAACTTGATTTTGTATTAATTATATTTTAATCAAAATTTGGAATGAGATTGTTCCACGAGTTACTCGTAGTAAAACTTAAGTACAACACAAGTAAAGTACAAATTAAGAGTGTTATACAAATAAAGTGCCAAATTACGCTCTTTACACAGATTTTCTTCATGGAACAGCTGTGTGTAAAGTCTGGAGAGAACACCAGTTCCGCGCAAATAAGCAATAAAATGTACGAGTAGTCTGTGTAGCATTTTCAAATTTTAGACAGGGATGTTACGCTCTCTCAGATGCTCAGATATTTACTCGAAAATTTGCTGGCGGCACTCATTTGTGTATACACAGTATTATTCAAAGTTACTACGAGTAGCTCGTGGAACAGACCTAATATGTAACATTTTTGCATAGATAATTCTTTCTTATATATTCAGATTAAGTTCTATAATTTTGAAAAAGTATTTTTATGGCTGGCAATGTCAATATTTTTATTTTTACATTTTTAACAATTGGTGAAGTCTCAGCGCAACAACAACAAGAATGAGGACACGACGAATTAATTAAAGAAAACTTATCTGCGGGCTTGATATCGAATTATTAAATCAAATTATTATATATTAATTAAATAAGTAATAAAATATAGTAAATCATAATAAAGTGGTTTTTTTTCTATAGAATAAATAATAGAATCAAAAATAAAATAAAATGGATATAGTAAAAGAAGGCGCTCTTCTGCTCATGAGTCCGAAGTGCTATGATAATTATTTTATAGAACTTAATTTTTTTGATGGTAGGTTATCAAATAAGTTCTATATCAAATAAATTGTTAAATATGTATCAAATAACTTTTTTTCTTTTTTAGTGCCTTGTTTTAAAGCATTGCTAAGTAAATGTCTGGGAATAGGTATAATAGCCGGTTCCTTATTAGTGAAAGTGCCGCAAGTACTAAAAATTCTGAACAATAAATCTGGTGAAGGAATCAATCTAGTCAGTGTCCTTCTTGATTTGATGGCAATTACATTTCATATGTCATATAGTTTTATGAATGGATATCCATTTAGTGCGTGGGGTGATAATACATTTTTGGCATTGCAGACTGCAGCAATAGCTGCACTGGTGCTTTATTATACCGGGAACAAGGGCAAATCCATAGTGTTTTGTTTCATTTATACTGCCATCGTTTATACATTAAATTCTGGTGTACTGCCTATGAATTACCTTGTTGCTACACAAAGTTTTATCATTCCAATATTATTAGTTGGCAAATTATCGCAAGCGTTTACCAACTACAAAAATGGTTCTACTGGACAACTTTCAGCTGCTACTGTCTTCTTACTATTTGCTGGGTCAGTTGCGCGTATTTTCACCTCCATCCAAGAGACTGGAGATAATATGATGATCATAACATTTTGTGCTTCTTCATTTGCAAATGGTGTTATATTAACACAAATGCTTTATTATTGGAATAAGCCTGCAAAAGGCGCGACAAAAAAGACAATACCAAAATTAATACAAAAACCAATACAAAAACAATTGCAAAAACGTCCAAAAGCAAAAAAATCTGATTGATGCACGTACATTTTTAGCTGACGATTAGAAGCGTTTTATATTATGTATATAATGTTAAATGGCTTTTTGTATAAGCTACAATTCAATTATAATAATTATAATCTGTATCAGGAAACAAATTGTATAATTCATGATAATGTGTGGGTATGATGTTGATTTTTGTTTGGTGCAATAAAAAACATGTGTATTGTGTTTCTTCTATAAATAAAAATTCAAAAAAAATCAAATAATGTGATATTTTATTTTAATTGAAGTCTGTACTATAATTAAAGAAATAGCTTCTAATACTACTAAAGCAGTTCTGACAGAGATATAAGCATTCAGGTTGATACTGTAAGGAAAACAAATAAAATACAAGTTGCAGCTAGTTTTTTAGTCTAATTCTTACCTTGGAAAACTTTACAGTTAGTAAGTAAATATATAATACGGTATTAACATTTTTTAATAGCGGTCTGGACTACGTTCTGAAATCACTTATCAATGAGATCAAACAGCCTGATGGTATGCGGCGTTAACGTTACTCAATAAAGTAAAAATAAATGATTCAAGCAGAAAGAGGAAAATGTTTCACAGTCCACAATAGGTTAATATACACTTAAATATGTATTTACTTGCAAATACATAAATAATTTACTCTTTTATTATGTTCACAGATCGCTTAGGTAAGCACAGAGTAAATGTTCTATATAATGAAATTGAATTTTAAACAACATTTTAATGCTTAATATAATTTTAGGTAATATAGTATATAAGCATCCAGTCAGTTAAGTAACCGTAATTATTTTTAGTATTTTTTAAATGGGAATCACAAAATCGGCGAGAAAAAAACCTACGATATACGATCTGATAATTCAATAATATATTTTTGTACGGGATAATTGAGAACAATGTTAAATAACACTAAATTTTTAAACTTAAGAAATTAAATCATACAAAAAAATATGTGTAACGAATTTGGTTATTAACACAATAAATTATTCTAATCCAATAATGAAATTATTATTGCAATTTTTCAAACAAAATAACTAATGTCGAATATACTTCGATGAGTTCAACAAAACCGGGAGGTATTGGTAAGACCAATATAAAGAAAAGAAAAACTGCATATTTAGACAATATTATGAGAAATATAAATACGATCTACTGCAACTAATACTTTAAGGAAAAATAGAAGGAAGACGTGATGTTGGCAGAAAACAATTGTCCTAGCTCCGAAATATAAAACATTAAACTGGAATTAATAACATCGGAACGTTGTTGCTGTTCTTGTTATTATAACCCGCTGGGGCCTGTTTGTGAAGTCCCTTTGGAAGGTATTGAACGTTGGCGATGAGTGGCTCCGTGACGTAGACCCGACCGTACTTTGAACTATATCTGAACGTTGTTAACGACATCTAGAGATAAAGAATCATACCATAAAATGAAATTGTTGCAAATTTAAGTTAAATGTAATGTAGCATTAAAATATTGATTTAATTGTATGAAATCGATATATGGTATTTCAAATCTATTTGGCAAATAAAGAAGAATAATTTCTCTTATATTATATAGAGCAGAAACGCGTGAATTTAGCAAGTTTTTTGCATTATACTATCAGGTAGAGTTTTAAGTGGGGTCACGTTTTGGCTATAACATGCACCGATAAGGCACAATGCTTCTAAATGGATTATATTGTCATACGTTTTAATTCAAACAATATCATAAATCGTTAACACTATCAATAAATGAACTCAATAAATAGTATTTTAGTTTTAGTAAGTCTGCTAAGATTTTCACTAATTTTCACGTTTCATTAAATTTTATTTATTGTTGACTTTTGGACTAATAAAGTTGTAGTAAAGAAAATTTTTAATTAATTTGTTTTTTTTTTGTATATTTACATTAAAGTAATTGATTTCACGAAGTTTTTTATTTTCCATTATCCACGTTAGTTGGAAGTAGGAGTAATAAACTGAAATGGCTTTATGCTTTAATTTAAATGTGGAAACTCAGTAAACCTCAGTTTAATTTCAATTTTAAGTGCATTTATTGAGTTGAAGGATGTATTTAGACTAAGATTTTATTTCGAAGTTATACTTTGAAGCTAAGTTCAAACAAATATCACTTTTATTGATTGGTAAGGCAGATAGCAGTTTCAATATATATATAACATATAAAAAATTTTTATAGACTTTTTGCCTATACTATACATACCAGCAGGTGGTATATACAGAGTATACATATATCTAACTATTAATTATTAATTGTTTTTATACAATTTAATTATAAGGTTAAAGTATATAATAGTGCGATGTGAAATAATACTAGAGCGCAAAAACAAAATATTTAACAAGGCCTTCTATACACGTAAAATGATTGATAATCTATAGAGCTTACGTTCATTATTATCTTGTGTATGAACGGAGTCAAAAGTAGTTAACAGATAGCGTGTGTGACTAACGTTCTTATGAATTAACTTAATTTACTTGTAATCAACTAAAATTTTATTTTAACATTCCAATATGGAAGTCGTAAAAAATTTTGCGTTACTGTTTTTGAGTCCAAAATGCTATGACAATTATTTTGTGGAACTTGATTTTATGAATGGTATGTATTTAATAAAATAAACATATTGAATACTGAATGAAAATAATTAAAATATAATAAAATTTTATTCTATTTTCATTTTCTTAGGACCATGCTTTAAAGCCTCACTAAGTAAACTATTGGGTTTGACAATCATTGCTGGTTCGTTACTGGTGAAAATACCGCAAGTACATAAAATATGGCATAAGAGATCTGGTGAAGGTATCAATCTGGTTAGTGTACTCTTTGATCTACTGGCAGTTACATTTCAGATGTCTTACAGTTATATGAATGGCTATCCGTTTAGTGCTTGGGGTGATAATACATTTCTAGCGCTACAAACCGTCACAATAGGAGCTCTAGTATTATTTTATAATGGTGCCAAAGTTAAAGCTTTCTTTTTCTGTTTGATTTACGCGAGTGTCGTATATATATTGAATTCTGGTCTAACACCTATGCATGTACTCATTGCTGTACAAAGCTTTAATATTCCAATAGTATTGATAGCCAAAACCACACAGGCATTGACCAATTACAGGAATGGCTCAACAGGACAATTATCTGCTATAACAGTTTTTATGCTTTTTGCTGGTACTGTTGCACGGATATTTACTTCCATACAAGAGACTGGTGATAAAATGATAATAATGACATATTGTGTTTCTACTTTGGCCAATGGTGTTATATTAGCACAAGTATTATATTATTGGAACAGCAGTACTAAAACGAAAAAGTCCAAAAAACAAGACTAAATAAAATAATCAATTAAAATTTATAGTTTTAGAGCTTAATAATACTATATTCCATTTGAAATTCAAGTTTCTGAAATATAATAAGGATATTCAAACCAAATTCGTTTTACTAGTAAATTACCACATAAAAATAATTTTTACATTAAAGTTAATGCCCAAACTAAGTCTATGAGCTACTCACATAAATGTTTTAAAGTCAATAAATATATTTCAAAGATTTTAACAATCAATAACGCTACATCTTCATTCAATAAAATTTTGAGTGCAATAATAATAATTTAATGGTTCTACAATCCAAATAAATATATCCCCATTCAATAAAGTTTGAACTATATTTATATGAACCAACTATATCGGATATATGGTTATAATGTATAAGCAGTAACACAAATATTTAATCAAGTTTCAAAAATTAAAGCACATTTATAAGGCATGGGTATCCGTAACAATGTGACATTGAAAGTATTAAGACCCTGATATTATCACATTAAGGATATTCTCAGACCTTAATATTATCGTATTAAGGGTATTTTGGCAACCACATTATTACTTTAAACGTATTTAGATATTGATTTTATTACATTAAACATTCAGATAGAATTACTTGGATATGAATTATACCAATGTCTTGACAATTACTTGTAATCGGTATATTAGGATGGCTCTTTTAACACTTTACTATCGTCGTATGATAACATAGTTTGTATAAAATTGTATCATTCTTGATTTGTATCAACTTCTATGTACAATATTTAATGCAAAAGTGATTTTGTTATATTACATATATTTTTATTATATAATTTATACTTTTTATCTGTAGCCACTATACTTAAAAATAAATTTAATTAAATTCGTATATTGTATGCGTTTAAAATAAAATAATACAAATTTTTTTTATTATATATAATACATTTCAATTTTTTTTTTTTTATATTCGAAATAAAACCAAAACTATTTATCTTTAAAAGCATTTCTAAAAGCTTCCACTGCACGATATCTATGCGAGATCAGGTTTTTATCAATTTTTGGCAATTCAGCATAGGTGAGTTCGTAACCATCAGGTTGAAATATTGGATCCCAGCCAAAATCACGTGGACCACGTGGTTCCACTATGACACCATTAGTAATGCCTTGATACACAATAGGTTCATGTTCAATACCTTCGCTGAAAGCTAATGTACATATTGCTTTAGCCGACTTGTCTTCCCAACCATTGAGCATACGATATAAGCCTTCAGGTTTCAATTTTTCCAAAAACCATTTTATGTACGGTCCTTTTTAGATACAGTAAGTATAATAATACATTGATTTAATTGCGTAAATAACATTTTACCTGGTAGTCCAGTCATTGCATTGAAGCAAAGACAAGTATCTTCAACTATAACTGGTCCATCAACTTGACGTGCGGCTTCTTTGCATTTCTTAATTGCGATTTCCTCTATTTCGCCTTGCAGTTCCGGCAAATCAATTTTCTTCGAAATTAATTTGCGCGGGAAATCCGTACCAAGTATGGCAACCAGCTCCTCCAACTTTTTTGCATTTCCAGTGACGAAAGTAATGGGTTTTGACATTTCAGCATCTACCTATTTAAATACTATGTATCAAATAAATTTAATCTGACTCGATTTGTCAATGAAATTGGTTACCAAAAAGCTACTGAATGTTATTTTTCTGCACAGATGTTTTTACAAGCGATTTTGTGGAAAAAACGATTAGTCGGCGATACTGACATAGGTAATGAGCGACGCTATGCCATAATATTGCTTCTGGTAAATGTATATAATTAATTGGAGTAATTGAATTTGTATAGTAATGATAATGAAATTAATTTAAATAAAAATGATGTTTTTTAATACATATAAACAAAATTATATTTGAAGAAACTTTGAAGTATAGTTTTGGAATAAAAATGTATGATTAAGGTATGATGTGAAAGTAATGAAAACAAAAAATATTATACTTGCTCACACATTTTGTGCATATTTTTGTGTACATACTCACACATATAATTTTAATAATATATGTAAATTATTATCTTAAAGAAAAATTCTAGATGGATTTTCTAAGCAACTTGTTTCACTGCATTTGGTCTGTTCCACGAGCTACTAGTAGTAACTTTGAGTAACACTATGTATACACAAGTGCGTTCCACCAGCAAATTTTTCGAATAAATGAGAGCATTTGAGAGAGCGTAATATCCCTGTCAAAATTTAAAAAGTGCTCGTACATTTACTTCAAGTAAAATTTGTGTTGATGTGTGAATCAGCTGTTTTGGTTTGAATTTAAATTTTTGTATTGTTTATTTGCGCGGCACTGGTGTTCTCTTCAGACTTTACACAAAGCTGTTCCATGAAAATCTGTGCAAATAGCGTAATTTGGCACTTTATTTATGTTACGCTCTCAGTTTGTACTTTACTTGAGTTTTTACTAAAAGTAGCTTGTGGAACAGACCTAATATCTCAGCTCAGATGATATGAAGAGATATGATAAACTAGACTAAAGTTTTTTAGGAAATCGTCAATTCTGAACAACTTATTCCACTTAGCGAAATGCTGGTATGTCATTGTAAAAAAAGATGCTCAGAGACAGTGGCGTCGCTAGGCGTCAGCGATGTCGGCGACCGCCGACGGCCTCGCGCCCACAGGGGCCTCGCAAAAAGTTACCGACTATGGATTCTAAGCACTTCATAAATATTTTCAACAATTTGGTTTGATAATGTCATTAACCATATTCGAAATATTTCCGAATGTTTATATAGTAACCAGATTCATGTTCACAGTTCCAGTTTAAAATTGATTAAGACGTACTAGAAAAGTATGATGATCCAAGAGATGATGATGATCTTCATTCGAAATTCTATAAACTGAAGCGAAAGTAGCAGCAGGCGCAAATTATGATATAATTTTAAAAAAAATTGAGTGAAGCTAAAAATAGGAAAATTTATTTATTTTAATTTGTGTTTATTTTAATTTGATTAGCAATAAAACTTTCAATCATGCTTTTTCATATTAGTGAATGTAACTAATTTACTTTTACAACTGGGTTATAAAGGGGGCCTCGCAATTCTAATGTCGCCGACGTCCAGAGTTGGTCTAGCTCCGCCTTTGCTCAGAGAAGCCGATTTTATGAAAATCCGTCGTTAATTCGCGGTGCTTTCGGAACTCTAGTCTCAATTTTTAATTAAATTTCATATAGATTGCTTCAGAAGTTCAGTAGCTAACCTATACATTATAAGGCTTCGGATTTATTTCATTTTTTCACATAAGCATTATTACAAAATTAAATTTTTGTTACTCCTATCATTAGTAAAAAATTAAACTGTATAAAAACGGTGTTTAAGTATAAATATAGCTATTAGGTAGTCCTATAGGGCTTGCTGGCATGTAACCTTCAAATATGTTATATTTGCTGCTTTTACTGAGGCTGATTTTTGTTTCAATATATCAGTTTTGTTTTAGTCATATCGTAGTAACTTTATATACGGTAAATGGTAATATTCATGATTTAATTAGGGCAAACATTACGAAGAGAGAATAATAATATCGAAAAAAGGTTGTTTAAGGGAATTTATATGGTCATCAACCGTATAGACTCATGCAAACATTAGTTAAATCTATAATGGTAGAAAACCAATTTTTGGCATTATAATTTGAAACAATCCGTGGAACAAGGACCATTATAATGATTTTGTTTATTCTCTATACTCCATCTAGGATCACTAATACATATAAAATTATTATTAATAATAATTATGTTATTCTTCTACTTTACTTGTTGAAATTACTTGAATTAGCGTTTAAAGCATTTTGACTCATTTATGCGTGACAAGTAACCGTTTAGCGCATGTCTATATCCTGAACTTAATTGAGCTAGGACAATTTTAGCTGTACGTGGAATGCGTCCCTTTTCACGGTAGATATTAGACGGTGGTTCATTGAGGATTTTGTTGCAGAACAACCATGATCTTGAAGTGCATACTGCATCTGTGTGGAGAGCTGTTAGTCGACGTTTATATTCGACCTCACTGAAGTTAGCTCCATTGCAATAGATGTCCTAATAGATACTAATAAATTAAGGACAATTATCCTGTTTATTTAAAAACTATACTACTATAAAGTCAATAGTAACTTTTTTTTTGTTAATTACTAACAATAAACAACCATGGGCCGGCAACTCAATACTTTAGGAGCCCCCTTTCTTGAGGATCTCGACCAATTGCAGAACCAGACACTGAATGGCATTTTAGGCTTAGTCGAAGGTTCTAGGTGGTTTTAAACCCTGAGTTTTTCCTACATATACGGTAATGCAATGAGCCAATAGGCCTAAGTGGATCCATTAGGGGTCGCTGGTATAACCTAACCTAACCTTTAATAAACACCAGTTACAAACTAGAAAAAAAGCATTTTTATGCACTAGATAATTATAGACTAACCTTTCATTAAAACATATCTGTGTACAACTGTTATAGAATGTATTAGAATATTTTGGTTTAGTGGCGACAAATATTACAAATGAATGAATGGTTTTTAAAAAAAAAAAATACTCATATAATTAGAATAGCATGAACTATAATAATTGTGTGATATGATTTCGTTATGTTGTAAAAATATGTAATATTTACGAAATGATATTTACTAGCCTAAACGTTAAGCCATGTTTATATATGTATGTTAAAAAAATATAAATATTAAAAAATGAGTTTATATACATATTCTGAAAGTAACACATGTATATATAAAAGCAGCATTTCCATAACTATTCAGACAAACCATTTAGTTGTTCTTATTTTTATATTCATCAAGTCACCACTTTATTCAGTTCATCTTTTAGTTTTAAAAATTCAACTTTTAATTTAATGAAATTTTATTTTGTATGTTTTTTATTTATTTTAATTTTGTTTAAAGCAACTAAAAAAGAAGAATTTTTTAGAGATTATTTATATTTGGCTCTTTCTGATTTTAATTCGTAAAACTAAGTATATAAATATTATATTAATAGGTTTGTAATTTTAGTCGACTGTAACGTGTAAATTGACGGTAGGATGTAGGCCCAATTGTTTCAAAGACTTTTGGAAATGTTCATTTTCAAAAGTCTTACGGGGATAAGCGCAAATAATTCGATAAGCAGTAGGTGGAATATGTTTATAAATTTGTTCAATATATATGCGAAGGACATTTAATTGTGTATCTGACGGCCAACGCAATTCAACAACTTCGTCATTTTCTTCCTTATTCCAAAGTCGTAGCTTTATACGGGTCAAATCATTTTCCTCAACACCCAAATAGCGTTCGTAGGATTTAAATGAATTAACTACAGAATCATCAACACAAGTATCCATTTTATACAAATTATTAACTTCATCGTCATCAATAACATCATCATTATTAACCTTCATTGAGTTACGTATAGCTAAAGCAATTTGCTCCTTCTCAGTAAGTTCCGTAACATTAGATGAATTTTTTTTCGTTGATGGCGCTTTTGTTATTGTAGATGCAGTTGTTGCTGGTTTTTTTGAAATTTCACCATTTCGGCCATTAACCGAACTTTTACGACTTCGTTTCGATGTAGAAGGGAAATCATCTTCCATCTGTTCAGCAAGTGTTTTGTTATGAATAAGAAACTCTTTTAAGTCTTTTATCAAACTAGAGTGTTTAGGATCTCTACTTTTCCACATTTCTTCACCAGTGCGTGGATCCACAACACAGACATAAGGCTGTTCTGTGCAATGATAAAACGCACAGAAACGACGACCTTCATACGCTTCAGCATCAACCTATAAAATTTATATGATTATCATAACATTGTAATATTATAACTGCAAAAATAGAAATATTACCTGCCATAGTAGAAATTTCTTTTTAATAATTGAACGCATTATTTTATCAGACCAAACATCTCGGTTAAGCAGTTGTGATGCGAAATTATCGCTTTGTATGTTAACCAATAACCACAGCTTCATATCAGTAGCGGTTGTACGTGCTACTTGGAATGTGCCTGCGAATGTTATATCAGTTGGTGGACGGTACAGATCACCTAATCTAGAATTAGCAGTACTCGATGAGAGAGGGGCATTTCTTTCGCGGCGTCTTTTACGTGTATTTACACTAGGGCTACTATCATCGTTAGTCTCCATAGCATATGCAACATTATCAAAAGGTTCACTAAGACTATTGGCAGTTTCGTTAAGTTCCTGTTCCATTAAGGCACCTTCGCGTGCAAAATCTCGCAATGGACAAACTTTTACCTGTGAACGAGTATTCGCGCGACGTGTTTGTGGCTGCAGCAACAAAAAATTATCATCTTCAGGTCTACACAACTGTTCGCGCCTCGGAGGAATAGGAGGTCGGACATCATCTTCAACTGAAGCATCATTGTTTGTTTGCAACGCATCAATTCCGCCACCTTCAAAATGCAATGATATTGCAGCTTCCAAATTGTTTCCACAAGCTTCCAATAACAGTTTTGCTTGCGAAGTGGTTATACCAGCAACTTCAACCAAATTTTCAATTACTTTGCTTATTTGCGAATCTGACATGTTAACTCATGAAACAAATAACGAACAAAACTAAATTCGCAAACAACAAGCAACTCTCCTGCAACACACTCAATAGCGAATTGTAGCTTCTTTTTCAATTTTGACGTATGGAATATGTTTGACATTTAACTACACAAATTTCGAGATACTTAAAACGCACATATGCGATATGAAACTCACAATGAGGTTTGAAAATAAAAAACTCACCAAAAAACTGTTTCGTTACAAAAATCTTTAATAGTATATATAAGTTCTATCAAATATATTAAGTTTGTGCAATTATTTTTATCATAAACGCATTAACAAATAGAGTTATAGATATCTAGCTCGATTTTATTTAATTCGACATATGTATAAATAGCAACTATGTCCAGAAAATAAAATACAACATAAAAAAAATTTATTTATTTGTATAAAACCAGTTTAAAAAATAATATAATTAGTAAAGTCAATTAAGTTACAGTTTATTCACTTTAGTACAATTGATGAATATTTGCAATGAACTCATTGAATACATGACAATTGGTCGCATTTTTCTTATAAGAAAGTAATTGATAAGTAAATTAAAGTTGGACAATAATTAATTATTAGCCTACAAATAAGGGAATATTGCTTTAAAAATATTTAATTGTGGCAACTACGTCTGTAAATGCTGACAACAGATAAATTATCGGTGACTTGCTTAAAAAAAAAATTTGATATGATTTTTATGTGTTATGCAAATGATTACATGCATTATTTGTTATAAGTTAGAACGGGCCAGCTAATTTCCTACAGAACAATTAACTAAAACTGCAATTCCTTGCAATTCACAGATAATTACAGAATAATATAATTTTTGTGTAAAAATTCCAGATTTAAGGATGCTGCATAAAAATCTTCAATATGTTTCTGCTTCAACTGCTAATTCTTATTTTTTTGTTTGAAATAAAATTTTATATGATCAATTTTGCTGTATTACTTTATGGAACATCTTCTACTTATCGTTGCATATGGAATTATAAATCTATGTTATATAATTTCTATAAAAATGTTATTAGTTTGATTAATAGTATATATGTCATATTGAATATTATATAAGAATAGACAAGAATATTTCCAGCGGGCGAAGGTATCGATGCATCAGCGATACTGCATTAACTATCCATGTCACTACGATATCAAATAAATGTATTTTTGTGCATTGTATATTATAGGAAAACCATCCTTATTTATGCCTAGTCATTCATAAAAGCATTATTGCGATGGTGGTTTCTTTATGCAAAAGATGTGGGAATGAATATAATTGTGTGGTGAAATCAATAAATTTTGTAGTAATTTCGCTGCTACAAAGCAAAGAATCGAAAAATTCAAATAAAAATCATTTTTATTTGTGAAAAATATATGTGTATATATATTTTATTATTATATTTTTCTTAAAATATTACATAAAAATACAAAGAACTTATATATAAAAAACAAAAATTTGAGGTGAAATACAGCATAAAGCAATAAATTTCGCACATTGCTTCCTTAAAACAGATTAAAACATCAATAAAGCATCGATGCCATGGTGTTTCTTTTGGCATCGATGCCACTATAAGCTGCTGGGCCGATTTTACAGCCCTGTCACTATAATGACGTAAGTCGTGCTTAACTCAATTTTGAAACTTAAGTTGTAATTAATAAAAATTTAAAATAAATAAAAGCAATTCACAGATAATATTACAGAAATAAATGATTTTTATGTTAAAATTGTTTTTATATTAAATTATTAATGAATTGAATTTATATATCATAAAAATAGCAAAATCTTTTCTTAACATGAGAAATATTTACCGTGCTACCAAATGTCCATACAGAGATAAATAAATAGATTGCACGTATTCTACTGGACTAGCTGCTGTTTTTGGAAGAAAAAAAAACTGACTTGATAATGGTTGTTTTGCTTATAAGTTAACAAATAAAGTACAATGCGAAGATTTATCTCAGGTTAGGTTTTGGAGGGCTTTTTAAAGTGTGAAAAGTGATATCGATTTCATTAGGCTATTTTTAAAATCTAGGTAGTTAAAGTGTCTTTCTAAATATTTAATAATGAGGTCGTTTTATGCGTATGGTTTGTAGGACTCAGTTTGGATCCTAATGACAACAACAAAACTTTTTTATCTGAATATTTAGAACACACTACCATATAACAATGATTAAATTTGCTGAAAAATTAATACTATATCATTACTTTCATATTTATTATTAAAAATTAATAGTTTCAGATTTATTTTAAAATTTTATGACGAAGTTTTTCTAAAAGTAGTGAACTACAACAACAACAACGAAAATTAATTTTTTTATTATTTTAATTAATTGAATTTTTGGCTGATCATACAGCTGTTTAGAGTATTGCCAAATACTTATCATCGGTGGTCTTGGAAATAATTCTTGTTTTTAATTATTCGTAAATAATTTTTTGAGACTGCATGTACCAGGAATCGTACTCTTGCCCTGCCAAATTTGAAGCTGAGTCAGCGCACCTATTTCAATTGACCCAAAGCCGTACTTGACTTTTATGTTCGCTCATTTTTCAGGAGATTTGTTAATTTGCTAAGCAAGTTTTAACAAATTCAATTGCTGTGTTTATATTAGAACGAAATCATAAACCAGCTGTAGAATAATTGAATTAATTGGTTGTATTCTTATTTTTAGTTGTTAAATTTTAATATTTAAACAATATATTTCATTGCTTCACAAACGTTATTACTTTTTGTATTAATTTAAATATTTTTATCAATTCAGTATAAACTTGCTTTAAATTATGTATATATTTCTTTATTAACACACGCAGCTTAATAATGTGTACGAGACAATAATTAATATACTTACGATGTCGACTTTTGAACGTATTAAGCTGTAAATTGTTTTTCACCAATTTTATTGCGACAATAAACATTTTCAACAAATTTCTGCTTGCAAACTGAACTTTTAAAATATTTTCTCAACAGTTGGTTTCATTCCATATGAGCTTTTTTTGCAAGTAAGCGAAGTATGCAAGTATGGCTCCATACAAATTGCTTCTCTTTCATACACCAGTCAGCAGTCTTTCAGATGGTGTTGTCGCGAGAACAATAGAATTTGGAAGTTAAAGAAAAAGAATTTTGAGTGAAACTGTCTGAAGTCTTGTAATAAAGCTTTATTAAGTATTTTGTTGTAATTTATTTCATCTTTTAAATGATTTACAAACATCTGACAAACTAAACTAGTCTTAAAATGTTGGAAAGTGTATCGTTATGCAAAGAAATTTAAGTGAATGCAAATGCAATATATATCCAACACAACAAAAATATTATGCCTCTTGTTTATTTTGTTGTTTCTATTGCCTCAATATTTGTGTGTAAATACGTGTTAAAAGTGTAATTATTGGCAATAAGATAACAATAAGTTTTTTTGATGGGCTAGAAGTCATAAACAAAAAATTAAACTGCAGAACTATTAAACATTTTAATAGATTTAGCGGCAGTAAATAAAATTCAACTATTCGCAAAATGGTTTCTTTGATAAAAAATCAACTTTTGAAGCACTTGTCCATGTAAGTTCAATTATTGTTTACATTTTTTTGTTGTCTATTAAAGCAATTAAAATTATGTTCTCATAATTTAATATTTAATAATTTATATAAAAGGTCCATTAAGTTGACAATATTTGGTGTAAAAATTTAAATTAAATTGATTTTTCACCACAAAAGAGATTCTAATTACAATTATACCAAATAGTATCACCAAAACACTGTAGTAACAACAAAAACAGTAGTAGCAACAACACCAACAACAACAACAACAATGATAAAAACAATAAAGAAAGGCAATCATAAACTTCAGCGTAAAAAGACACTCCTCCGCTACGCTGGCCCACAAAAAAATGATTCAACTCATTACACATTTACACTTTGTTGTGTGAACACAAAAAAACAAAATAAAAACAACAGCAAAAACATTAACTGCAACAGCAACAGCAACAGTAACAACACCAACAACAAAAACTATACAACAAAAGTAAAAGTAAAAGAAATTAAAAAATCAGCAGCCTTCAAGTTTGCGTAATGAGTAGCCTGTGCCTTAGCTTGTCAGTGTTTTTTATTTTTTTTTTTATTATACTTTTTTTGTATTTTAACCGTTTTAATCATTAAGGCTGTTGCTTCAAGAGTATAACAGAGGTTTTTAAAGTGGTGAAATGGGTGAAATGGGTGAAATGAGTGAAATGGGTGAATTTGTGTAGACGGGTGAACTTAAGCTGCCCTGCTAAGGTATTAATTGCCTTCTTATCGCGAGTGCTTATTAAAAATTTTGTTTGAACGCTTTATCACATATTTATCACTTTGATTTGAAAATGTAAAAATAAACTCATTAATAATGAATCATTTAATAATATACTTTTTTTTTCAAATTAAATCTCAATAGGAAAATATCTGCAAATTAAAAAAAAAGTTCCCCGTTCGCCAACTTCGCTGAGAAAATAAACAATTTAACTAATATTTTTAAAAATAAATAAGGATTATATTTTAAATTTGCCTATATATCAGTGTTAGAGATAGACATAGATTAGAGATTTTGCAAGCCGCTTAGTCTACTCACATATTATAGCTAAGACTAAGACTAGCTAAGACTCGGCTTTAGGTCCAAGCATCATTCGCCTCTTCGTAGTCCATTCACACTTTTGGTATTTATAAATTAATGCAGAGAATACAAATAACAATTTTCTGTGCTAAGCAGGGTTAATAGAATAATAAGAAGGACAACAGAAACCACAACTACATGTACTTCAGTCTGCTTAATGTTGGTTTGTTTCAATAATAATTGTATTATTGTTAATTTTCATTTACGACTTTTTTGATTAAATATAATTAATTGAAATAAAAACAAATTAACAAAATAAGTAATAAATTAAAATTATGTAGTTAAAGAACAAATTCTTGAAAAATATACCATATAATACGACTATAATCTAACGGATTAAAAGTGGAAATGATAGATTAGGCAACGTTAAGCCGGCGACCGTTTAAGTAAAGCTTGGAGGTTTAAAAACCATCTTAAACATTTAGCCAAGAATAAACTGCTTTTTAGTGGAGGTCTTGAAATTGGTTAAGATCTTATAAAAAAATAAAACCTCTAGAATAGCAAAAAACAAAGCAGATATGATGAACTTTCATCGTTATAACATAACGACAACAAAATAACATAACAGCGACAAAATACTTAATATTCTAGCAAGGTTCCCTGATCGACTATGATCAGTGACCAAACCTACTACAATACAAATATCTCTCTATTTACTTCTAAACAAAACTTGATCAACTTCCATAAAGATGCTTACATATTGTTGAGTCTCCATATTTTATTAAAAAGTTCAGCACAGAAAGAACAAAGCAAAGTCATAGTCAACGATATGTTTAAGTTTTTTAGGTGTTCCGAGTGATTGCCTGAAGCAGCACATCCGACTAGCTCGTCTGCTTGGCAATTGCTGAAAATATCCCTATGACCGGGAGATGTAAAGAGATGTTAAACTGCGTCGACAACTCGTTTAGATGTGTTATAATCAAAAATCGTCCTGGATATAAATTAGGCTAAGAACTTTAAAGCAGCTTAACTGTTTAATAGTATGTATATATTATTATTAAATATATTACCCACTACCAGACAAGCTATAGATTCCCTAATAGCGAACATCTAATAGTGAAAAACGATGATTCTATTTAAATTCTACATTTAATATTTATTTTCTATTTTGTCAATGTTTTTCTATGTTAACACAAATCTATTTCGATCTTTTTTTGAGTTTAGCATACTTTCATTCGAAATCTATTTGCTTATATTTTACTTCTTATTATTAACATTTGTATTTATAATGACTGTAGACTGCGAAGTAGATAGATTCATAGATATAAAATAAGCATCTACACAAACAATAACTATTTCAATTTGTTTTTTAGATATTATATTTGGTTTTCTATATATGTAAGCATTCCATCAATCAAAATCCATTCTTTTGCTTTTTATTGTAAAAGTAATTCCGACGGCATCATTAAAATTCTCCAATCAGTTCAAAAGGCAATTAGCCCAAAAAAAATTTTTCTCATAAATTCCAATTAGAATTTTTCTTCTATTCTACAAATCTTTTATTATTCCACTTTAATTATGAGTAGTAATTATCTGTTATTACAGATTTTACTGCGACTGTATAAGTTAATAAAGAATTACTTACTGTATTGGTACATATATAAATTGAAAGATCAGTGTACATAGGTATAACCAACGCCGAAAAAGGCAATAACTCCCCTATTAGGGAAAGGAAACCTGATAGTTCTATAAAATTAGCTAGGTCTCTAATATTACGGGATGTGACAGGATGATAGCTCGGTCAGGTCGGTGAGAAAAGGGGCCCCGAAGATTTTTGATCATCTCTTAGCTAAAGAAGGGCACTGACACATGAGATAGAGTATGGTCTCTATCTAAACTTTATAACATATATCAATTATTTCATGTCATTCAATATATATTCATATACGTTTCAAATTGTTATATAAATCGTAATTCGAGTACACGATTTTATTGGCAGTTGTTATGGCATTCAATTAAAATGAAAATTGTTGACAGCTAAAATTACAGACACTCTCGTGTGAATCTAGTATTATAATGTTACCAAGTTACTTGATATTTTTATGATTTGTTCATTTCATTTTCTAATGTAATGAATACCCAAATATCTGCTTAAAAGTACCTCTTCAAAGCTTTGTGTGTGTGTGTCTTTGATGTTATAACATTTAATTTGAGTGTTCGATTTGCCGGTCATGTCGGTGTCTACTACTATATTTCAAATAGATATTAGTGAATCACACATATTTTAACAATATAACATATATAATAAGTTGACTGAATAGTTTTTTTTTTTTTGAAGTCTAAGAGCACATTCTCAAAGGAATAAGAAAAGAAAAAGAAAAGAGTAACATATATACATGGTAATATGTACATGGTAATATGTACATGATTTTTTATACATAAAAATATTTTCCTTCAACTTTTATAATGTTTCTACAGCTTTCTTACAGAACGATTGATCGAAACCTCTGTAATAAGTATTTGTGATGGTCACTATTTTTCCATGGGAGCTAAGTCTTTTTTGTCGATGCGTTTTTTTTTTGGTTTTTACGAACAAATTTTAGCTCTGATAAAAGTGTGGGTATGATTGTTTTTAAAAGTACTAATTGTATGAATTTAGCCAGTTCAATCAGCGATTTCTTACATTACATATTGAATTATTAGAATATAATCTTTTCGATTCGCTTCTCTGCAAATTTGTAATAACACTACAATAAAGTTAAAAAAAGTATTGTTTCGGATACATCTAAAACTTTTCCAGATAAACAACTCTTTCTTTTTAGCCCTGTTCTTCGAATAATAGACTGCGTGCATTTATAATCTCTTATGTAAGAGTTTGCATTTATGGATCACTTACTATTTCTCTACACATTTTTAAAAATATCGGTACTATGGTTATGTATTATTTATAACAGAATGCTTTGAAGTCCCTTTTTTTTTTGACAGTAGGTGGAAGCATCGTAAGCCACAGTGTGAGACTTGATCCCACTAAACCAACTCTTAGGAATGAATGTAGAAGATTTCCACAGCATTGTGAAAACTTGAAGTCCCACATATTTACCAAAGATAATAATGTTGACGATTGATTTAAGTCTATATATATTTAGTCCTGGTTTGGAATGAGTATTTAGGTATTGTTAAGAATAGTTTGATGACTTTCTTCTTTATATACTGTTTAACCTTTTCGATCTTTAGGTCTTCATGGGTTGCGATATTTCTTACATAGCATGAGGTTTTCCATATAAAAAACTCTAACTTCTGTTATATCCTTCTAAAAAAGGTTCAAACAGTTTGTAAATCTATTATAAATATCTTCTACTACTAATAATTTAGAAAGTTTGAACAAACATATTTGATACAAATCTTTTTTATTCCATTTACGATATTCTTATTAATATATAATTTTCTGTTAACTGATTTTGAAAAAAAGTGAAACTTTTAATTAAGATTTAATATTGTCTGTTAAAATTAGCAATTTATTTATACTAAACTTGGAGTCAATTTTTAAATCCAACTTAATATTTATGTACAGATAAACTTTTTTTACTAGTTTTTATTGTTTGGAAAAGTTATCTTTGAAAGTGTTGTATATGAAGTGAATGAGAAACCATAAAGCTGCAGACTGTCAACAAAAAGTAACTTAACTTTTAAAGTAAAATAAATGATGTGTCAAGAAACTTTTCAATATACTCAGACGAACTTCTTAAAAAGTCAATAATATATTTTTTTTATTTTCAATAAGATTTTGTAAATATCTTAGTTAATTATTAATTAACTATATAGAAAGGTATAAAGTATTTGCAGCATTTTTAAATAACATTGTATTGCTGTGTAGTATGGTATTTAGGATATTGATATTTTTTAGTTTCGAATAGAAGTATCTATCTCCTTGTATTAATGTTACTAACTAGGCTCTATTCGGGTTCAATTTAACATA